TACAACGTCTTACAGAAATACAGTCAGTTGACCTATGGTTACTCAGGCAGTTGAAGCACAACTGCTTATCCTTCACTAATTGAGTTTTTTTGCGTAGTTACCTTTACAAAAGCTGGGCAGTGTCCAATGAAGTGGGCTTTATTGTCCAGCGGACATAACCATTCTGACTTATTTGTTTCATTCTAGAAGTTATTCTTTTTTTCGGCATGCTGGCTGTACGCATGGTTACGGAAAATTTTTGTTGTTCGTTGTCTTTCCAATCTTTTTCCCCGTAAAAACGCGTGGTAAAGTAAGTGCGTAGGGGTAAAACGTCTAAGTTCTCGCAAGCTCTAGAGTGGTTGCTAAGCCAGTCCGTGGGATCTTTCAGTGTAGCATAGTCCATCCCATTATGCACGCAGTATTCTTCCCATTTGAACGAGACTGCAGGGGGAAATTTAGAGCAAGTCGAGTATGGTTGCTCAATTTCAAGTCGTATGTGTAGTTGTTTAATTCGAAATTGTGCACCAGCTTACGTACGTAGAAAAGCAGCGAACCTAACGAATGTTTGAGCTTCATAAAAATGCAGTCACTCAAAGTTTTCCAGCTCCCTAGTAAACGCTGCAACAACGAATTTAGGGTTGCCACATCTGCGCATTAGCTCCTCTATTGCTTGAATGTACTGTGAAGAATTCGTGTCGTAGCTTTTCACAACGTTTTTGGCTTTATCGACACACAGGGACTGGAGGTAAGTTATTTTTTCCACATCAGTTAACATGGATTGTTTCCTATTGCAGTTTGGAACAGCTCAAACCATTAATTCCATTCTAATGGTTTGCCGTCAAAATTTGGGAGCTTAATATGAGGAAGCTTGAAACTTTTGAGACTGTAACGAAAAGCCTTGTTGCTCGCGTTCTGATCAGTACAACGGAGACCGTGATTGACTGGAGTCACGATTCTTGAACATGGTCGATCCATCGAGTGCATGTTGAGAACATTAGCACCAGTCTGCGGCTGTTTTAGTGATAGATTCAGTGGATATTGACCATTTCCAGAGATCTCTGGGTTCTCATAGGAACCAGGTCGATAGTATATATCACCACACTGTCGCCGATGTGATGGCCATGGAAACTGTTGCATCGATCTCGAGTTCTCTGTCGCAGTATATAATCTTTGAGTAGTGTAGACGTAGCGGATTGGCTGGCGAAACGCAAACGGTTTAGATGGTACCGTTGCTGTAGTAGTATCAAAACTAACGGCTGCGGTAGAAACGTTTGACCTGTTGTTATAAGTTGTACTGGAAGTTCGCATGGGAATACTACTGCACGCTGGGATCGTATGTGAAGAGAGTTGCAGAGTAGAATGACTGGAGGGGTCATTTATCTGTATCCCGTTGTAGTATTTTTCGTACCGTCGCTTTTGTTTCATTGGCAAACTTTTGCGACTTCGTAGTGAAGATGCATCATTAAGGAGGTTTTGCACGTCTGCTAGAAGGAACGACGCTGTATCATCTGCCAATTCTTGTAGGCATTTCAAAAGCTCGTTCGCCGTTAGTTAAACATCCTCTAATTCCGTAGATGGTGCAATTTCGCTGCTCAGTTGTCGTTCAATACACTCAAGAAAGTGTAGCAGAACGTCCATTTGATTATGAGCGCTTGTTGTGAGATTTTTGGAGCCATCGCTAAAGTAGTGAAAAGATTATAGGAATGGTATAATACTGTTAGAAGAGAAGTGTTATGGAATGGATGAAAGTAGGTTTAGGTATCAATTGTTTTTTTTTGTAGACAAAATATACGAACGGTTATGTTGGCACTACGAGCGTGCGTATTTCGTAAACGGCTTTTATAAGATTTTAAGAAACTATGAAGTATCACGTACTTCAATTATTAAAAACCAAGTACTTTTGAGAGTTTTTTTCAGCGGCGAAACTTAGCTGAGAATACAATTTAACCTTTTAAATGAGATGAGAATACTTCTGAGACCTCTTAAAAAGTTTCCTCGAAAATTTTTTATTAAAAATATCACGCTATAGGCGTTCTTATGTTTTCTCACAAGTTTCGAGAAAACTTTTGGAATGGTGTGTTATAATTATTTCGCTTTTTTTTGGTTTTTGCTTAAGGAAATTTTAACTATCGGGTTTTGGCTATCAATGTTTTTGTTAACCGGAAAAAATCTACCTTTGCATACCGAGGATTAAGAATTAGTAAAGCAAAGTACAATGAAAGCTATAAGTTTTGAAAGAGCTATAGATTTGTTTTCAGTTAGCAATTGTAGCACAATTATGGGTTTGGACATTTCGATTAGGAATTTCGAATTAGTAGCATTCTTATGAGTTTTGAAAATATAGCCAATTTTTTTGGAAACAGTTGTTTGTGAACAAAAAAACCTGGCCTGATCGAAGGCAATGGTTACGGTAAATTAGGAAACGACACAATACAGTGTTGTCTAAGAAAGCTTCTAGAAGAATGAAAGTTCTATAAACATCTACTAAAAAGTCCTATCTAGCCTGATTTGCTGTGTTCTCACGTTGAGGGGGAAAGCTGGGGGACCTCTCAGACTGTCCTTGAGGTAGACTTTGATGTTTCCTTTTGGAGGGGGGCCCTCCGAGACTATCCGTGATGTAGACTTTGATATATTACTATGTGGCTAACTTGACTCTGGAGGCATCGGAGACTGAGATACTGTGTGAAGTTGGCCTTTGTATCCTTTTTTCTCTGGTCGCCAATATTTTTGTTCATGTGTTTTAAATTAACTTGTAAGATTGGTTTTGAGCGAAGTTTTTATCCAGCAGAGGGCTTCAGTTTTTTGGTGAAAAAAGAGTATTTAGGACTCTTTGTTCATATGTGTCTTGTAATACCTTCGTCAACTTGTCAGAAGTCAATTGTTATATCATTCAAAATTATAATTGCCTTCCAATAATTTATTAATTATGAACAGGAATTTACCGCTTTTTCCAGTAACTCACGTGAGAGATTAAATAAAGAGTCTCTGATTGCTCAAACTTTTCTGACAGTTATTGCTATGTGTGATAACCCTGCTTGACGACACGCATTTAATTTTAGCCGTTTCGATATGAAATATTATTTAATTCAGCTAACATTAAACTGAATCTCAAGTTTGTTTTCACTCAACTATGCAAACACGGATAACTATTTCTACCAAATATTGAGAGATTTAACTGAGCTGTAATACAATTGATCAGAATACGCAGAGAATAAATTATTCCACTCATGAACTGACTAGCTCCAATCGATGGGAAAAAACCTAGAGGAATAGGTCTCACTCAAGCATCCTTTAGTGCAAGATATGCCTAACCGCTCGAAATAAATTAAAACAGAGGTGAAGCTGAGCTTCGCACCACTTGGGATGCAGAACAAAAAAATCCTAATATGTCGGAAAAATTAGTTCTATCAAAATTAAAAAGCTAGTTTTGAAGTGAAAACATACAAAGACAAAAAAAACTTGCAATTAGCATCGGAAGATATGTAACCAGCGGTAACAAAGCCGAAAATACCTTCAAAGAAACCCTTCAAACCGAAAAAAAAATCAGCAAGACCTATGAAAAGTTAATAAGTCCCCCTAGCCGTCAAAACCCAAAAACACTAGGAAACCCTTATGTGCTAGTCAAGGAAGACAATATGAGGCCACTAAGCTGATATAAAATAAGCCGAAACCTATTAAGCCTCAGAAAAGAAAAACAAACAAAAAAGTTTAAAAAAATCCAAAAAGACTTTTAGACTAATAAGAAGTTATTAAGTCCCCCTCACTCTCAAAACACAGACACGCACGCACAAATTTTTTTCGCTAGTCCAAAGCCGCAGAATGAGGCCAATTAAACAAAATAGTATATGCCGAAATCTATCAAGTGGAAAAAAAGAAAAAAAAACGAAAACAAAAAACTGTGGTCATTGAAAAACTTGAGCTTAAGTTCTATTAAGATTTTTTAGCTTTTAGTGCAATCAAAGGCGAGCACGAAAAAAAATATATTTCATTGCAGCGAATCAAAATTGGATAGCTAAGCCGATAAAAAATAGGCTGAAATCATTTGGGCAGAATATAAATTTTAAGCGGAAAAAAAGATACGAAATCAAGGTTAGAAAAATTGAAAGCAGCAGTGGTAGATCAGAACACTAAAGCAACTATAATACAAAAAAACTTCACAAAAAAACTTCAAAAAAAATCTACTATATGGCAACAATAAAAGCAGACAATAATTAGCCGACAATTTTTTTTTGAAACGGATTATTTCCCGTATGAAAAAAAAACAGGTAATGTAAGACTGGAATCCATGCGCTTTTGTTACCTCCAGATCAAGCGTACCGGAGACACAAAAAAATGGAATTCATAATGACTGAACCTAAAATTACCCTTTCTAAATGTGACCAACAAGTTATTTACGGGAAAAAAATCTTGTCTTATCACATGGGGTAAGCATTAATAAACACTGATAGCCTGTAGTTCTAATAAAACACATAACAGCTCAAGAACAACATACTGAAAGACAAAATATTATGCAAGAAAGACCGTATATGACACTATGTGATTACTTATACCAGTTTTGGTGTGAGAATCATTGCATTTAGTTTAATAACCCTAAATTGGTGCTCCTTTTTGGTGGTGGTGGTTGCTGCTGTTTCTTGAGAGTATCGATGGAGTTGGTTTTGCAGTAGTTACATTTACCACAGTAAAAACTGCGTAGACGTTCATTTACATTTTTAATGGTAGAGTATTTCACTTCCATATTCCCTCCGAAATGTCACCAGACAAGACACTGTATTGATTTATTATGAAACCTTTGTAAAAGATATTGCAAATAACTGAGCATAGAGCATATAACAGTAACGTTCCGAAACATAGCAATTAAATATAAATCATTCCATTTGAAAAAAAAAACAAAAAAAAATTAAAACCAAATGTTCTTTAAAAACAAGATCTGCACAGGAGAAAGCGCTAGAGCGGGAATAGATATTATAAAATGGTATTTTCGGGATTTTTTTTACTTGTTATAAAGCTAAATTACTTACCTCCCGGTAGTTGCGAATACTACGGTGAGATTGTCTGTAAGACTGATACTTCTTATCGTGCCATTGAACAATATCATGTGCCGGACCCTTCTTCCACTGTACTCCTCGTCATAGGATATTTTGAAGTGCTTTGTAGAGCACAGATACAAATTTTTCGTAAAATTCTCAAGCAATTGAACTAAAATTAAAAATCATAAGGCTTCGCTCTTAAACTTTGATGGACATGAAAATTGAAACAGAAAAAAAAATTCAATTAAGGTTTTATAGGTCTTACAAAACAGTTACAAAAGCAGCCATCTCGCATCTAGCAGAAAATATTCCATACGTCTAGAAATTTGAACTGAGTAATTAGGCAGAAAACAAGTCATACGGCTGATTCAATGTTAAGCAATGTTTTGTTATGTAAAAAAAAATTAAAAAATGATCAGTTTTCCACTTTTTAAGAAAAATCTACTGATGCCATACACCTGTTCTGCCGGAATCAAGAAAAATCCGATTATCAAAAAAATGAATTTATACCCAAATACTTTTAAAATGAACTTACGAGAGGGAAGCTTATAATCCACAAGCAAGCTATATCTTTGGAGAGGACGCTTGATGAAACTCCCAGGGTTAATTCTTCCATTGAAATTAATTGAATAGCGGCTAGATATAACTGATATTTCGTACCTTCCAGGCTCAGGGCTCTTTATCTTTATTGATGGACCTGAAGAAAAAGAAAATCAAAACACTGCTTCCGGTATTGAAAAATCAAAAACAATTTGTTTAACCTTCTGTCTCGTCAGAGAAATAAAGTTGTGAAGAACTAGTTGTTCTATTTACAATTTCCCATATATATGGAGGTCCAAACTCTGATTGCACGTTTGTTAGCTTGACAAGAATTAGCTGGTGCGGTGCTCCTCGTATTTCATTATCATTGGAAAAAACTACAGACGCGCAGGACATAGAAAACAAAAGGTATTTTGTAACGTTTGAGACCATTTGAATCGGAAATAGAACAAAGTATTGAATTTCAGCAAACTGTTATAACAGAATGAAGCTGTATTACTGAGCGGCTTTTAAGAAAAAACCATGCAATAAGACCTGCAATAAAATAAAAAGTAGGCCTTGGAAATTGGAAAAATGTAAAATGAATCAATATTTTGACAATACTCTGTATCAGATAACAATATTTCAATATTTTCATATCTTTCAAAGGAAAGTTCAGATTAATAATCCGAACCGCAACAAACAAGAATTTAAATAACGAATAAATTGAAACAACTCACAAAAAAAAAAGATAGAATCAAATTATAAATATATAGGTTCACCTATCTTACCTTACGTCTTTTGCCGATTTTCTTTAGTTATTTTGAAGAACCGAATTTGAATGAATGGAAATTGAAGTAACTTCCTTTTTAAGAAAATCTATAAATTGATTTTACATATGTGAATAGGTTATCAAAATACTTGAGAGCACAGGCTGTTTCACGATTCTTTACGCCGATGACTTAGCGATTGGGTCGACCGAACTTGACAATGTTAAAAACGCAATGTTTGTACTCGAAAAATATTGCCAGAGAAACAGTCTCAAAGTGAATGTTGGCAAAACTAAGGTGGTGAAACACCGAAATGGCGGAAGGCTGGCCAGGACCGACCAATTTTTTTTCAACAATACAGAAATCGAATTCAAGGATTCGTTTGAATACTTAGGCACGTGGAACATCTCAAGAAAAAAGCCTATGCTGCCTCTTGCTCAATACAATCCAAAGTCCAACTCAGAAAAATTTGTTTTAAGTCCTCCGTTAGACTCTATGAGAGCGTCATATTTTCATCTGCTTCTTACGCTCTCGATCTTTTCAGCGATGTGTTATCACAGAAGGAAAGAGACGAACACTTTCCCAAAGTGGCTGGATTTTATTTCAAGAAATGGATCGGAATCAGTATTTATAGCAGAACCCACAAGATTTTGCATTTTTTGTTCAATAATGACTTTTTGGGCTTACAAAACTGTAGTCCTGCGCACAGGAGAGAAAGAGGTATTTTTTACAGCAACGGTTTTCATCATGTTTTATGTCATAAAGAGCGCTGTTACGAATCTGCGGACGATGAGACACGTAGTTGCAAGTACTGCGGTTGTGTGATTATCTCAGATATGCACCTTGACACTTGTGTCGGTTTCTCACAACACAGAACAATCAAGCAAAATGTCAAGGAAATTTACAGGTTGACATTTGATCCATGAGCGGTACTGATATTGGAAGTGAAACTGAATTAAAACTCTTTTTTTTTTCACTTTTTGTCTCATTGAGATGTTGAATTCACGTATTATTATAGGTTATCAAAATTGAGTTTAGTCTTGAGTTTGGAATGATCTTGAGGCCATTTAGATTGATGTTGAGAACATCGTTCCAACTCTTAACTATATTTATTGAATGAGTTTTGACCTTTGACACACATGACGTTCAAAATTTGAAACATTCGAAATTTTCTTACTATTCAATTTTAAATCTGAATTCAAAGAAAAGAAATTTTTGAGGCTCTGGCTTCTTCCTTGGCTCGTTGGCTCGTAAAATTACTGTTAGTCAAAAATTTTCCTTCTTCGATTTTAAAGAAAAATTCACCAATAATATTTTTAATAAGAAATTCGTATTGAGTTTGAGGCTATTGAGATTCATGAAGTTTTTTTAAAGAGACAATGGAATTCAAACATTACATTTCAATATTCCGATAAAGATTCCTTTATCTCTATTTTGATGCATTTTTACAGATGTAAATGAAATTTATCGTTGCCTTAATTTAGAAGTTAATTGAATGTTCATTCATTCAATGAGATAGCAATAGTGAACGGTTTCAATAACCTAAAGCAAGTATTAGAGTTAAAAACAGATTTGATACATATAATTATCCGCAGATAATTATCTCTGGTTTGTGTTTCGAGAACTGAAATCGGCAAAACCGTTGTCCCGGATTTATTGTCGCTTCTTTTGTTCACAGCTAACATTACTTTTTGAATTTTCTTTTTGCGCCTGCTGTAAAAATATATTTTTAAAACTCGAAAAAGTAATAGATTTTTTTAAGTAATCGTTCAGAAACCTTTTCACGAATATGCCAAAGTGTCTTTTAATATCGAATATGCTTCAATTCTAGACTTTCGTTCCAATCCTCTCAACGTAATCAAAAAAATTGAGCGATACTAACAGTCCGATCCTCTCGATTCTTTAGACAAAAAAGGGGATGAATATTTCAAAAAATTTTCATGATTGTGAAAGTAGAAGAAGAAACACTTCAAATGCTATGCACAATAGTCCTTGCATTTGAACAGAAAATTTTTATTTGTTATACATATTTGTAAATATATATTCTCGTCTCGAGTTGCTTGTTCTTATTGAAGAAACGTAACCCCCGTTGAGTTTAATTTAAATCACATCAACACTAATCATCTCCTTTTTACTATTAGTAGTAGTAGTAATATGAATTCTGTGGTTCGCACAAGGGATTTGGACCAAGGGGTTTGTTATCAATTCGATATTTAGAAAGTTCCAAGGATTTTGACTGCAATATGCGATGAAAGGACTCCTGACTGTATCCTCGGTTACTATGATACTTTTGATATTAATTGCTGCAACTTCTTTTTTTTTGCACTGATTTAATGCACTGATTAAAAAATAGGAACACTTCTTAGCAGGTATTTCAATCGATTTATGTGACATGAATACGTATTTAACTCATGATATGTTGGTTTTTGTGAATAATTTCGTAATCTTAAATTTCAAAAATTATTTTTTTTATATGTATCTGCAGACGGTCATTTGCTGCCGATTCCATTTTGACTTCCAATCTGCGATTGAAAAGAGTTTAAATAATCGGAGTTTTCTGTTCTGATTAATCTTCGATTCTTCTAATCACCTCGCATCCGTATTTTTTTTCAGACAAAGACATGGATGATTTTCAAAGTGCCGAAGAGCTTACTTTTGTCGTTGATGACGTATCAAACATAGTTAAGGAGTCGATTGAAAATACAATTGGGGGTAGCTCATATCAACACAACAAAGTGAATCAGTGGAATTCAAATGTTGTTGAGCAATGTCTCAATCAGCTCACGAAGCTTAATAAACCCTTCAAATACATTGTTACATGCATCATAATGCAGAAGAATGGAGCCGGTTTGCATACTGCCAGCTCATGTTTCTGGGATGCAAATACGGATGGCAGCTGTACTATTCGCTGGGAGAACAAAACCATGTATTGTATTGTTACTGTATTTGGACTGGCCATTTAATCACATTCAACGAACAGAAATTAACAGTTTCAATGGTGGATCATTCCTATGTATAAATTCTTTTGATCTGAGCCCTTGTAAAAATATATGTAATACTATAAAAAAGATCACGAGAATCGACATATAATTTTAAATTCACATATCTATCCGTTTTTAGTATTGCTCAAATTGATAAAAATATTCTTTCGGGGTGTAAGCTGAGTTTGCGTGATAGGAAATTTGAGAAATAAAGGAGAACTGGACTTTATTTCGACTTGTCAAAATAAGCTCCTGCCTCGTTTACTAAGTAATTGAGTATTTTGATTACAATAGCCGATAGTTTCGAATAAAATTGAGTTTAGCACGACGCAGATTGAGTCGATCTTAAAAAATGTTGAATTACTCTTTGAGCTAATTGCGGAGATTGATCTAGTTTCGAACCAATTGTTAAATATGTTTACTGTTGCCATAAGCAAGGGTGTTACAACCGAATATTAGACTTTTTACGGTAAAGAACTATGTTCATAGAATGGACGAAGTAATAAGCAGTGTATTTTATAATTTCTTTTGCGCGAGTGTGGACTTTGGACTTTTTTCCTGTAAGCAATTTTCTTACCGTCGACAGGTCTGGCTTCCAGTTCCAACCAGACCTTGTATTCTTTTTCCCTTGTGTTAATGTATAAATGATCTTCTTCTTCTCTCGAAACTGCGAAAAAGCCGATGAACACAATATTGTAATTCCTTTTAATCGACGAGCATCAAACCGATGAACATAAATTTTTGCGGTCAAGAAAACAAGAATCGAAAAGACGAGAAACGACTTTTTTCGGTACAGCTAAAATCGCGAACCGAATTGATGCACACGTGCATTTTCGAAATCTAAAAACCCTAAAAAAAACGAATTTTAGCCCTCATGTGGAAACACGCGAACGAGCGATTATCAAGCAACAATATGTGCACGTGGCAGCTATGCTGCGATGGTGTAAGGTGTCGAAACGTATTGACAATCTTCTAACACCGTGAAAAGGGATGAAAATGCCCTCCAGTAATACTGGGAATCCAAAACAACAACAACATACCTCACTTCATCATGGAACCTCGACCTCATCAAGCCCCCTCTCACTTAGTCTAGAGGTAAAGCACGCTCCTTCGCAACATAAAGTCTAAAGTTTCAGTCCCCGCGAGACCTTTTTCTTCGTTGTTTATCTTTTGTGAGTTTAGCACTTCTGCTTTGTCTGATTATAATTTTGTTTTTCTATTTTTTTTTGCTTAATCGGATTCGGCTAAATCTTAATCGATTCAGGTACCTCACTTTGTATCGTTTAAAATGCCGACGTAGATTTTTGTTCAAGAAAGAATGGGACATAAAGACCTCAGTGTTTTAAATTTTTAGCTCAAAATTTTCTTAAACTTTTCGTTTTCGAATCAACTGCCGTCTACCCAAAAATTTTATACTTAGTTAACACTCGGCAAATGATTTGGAATGCTTTTTAACGGATGTGATTGCGTTTTTTTACATGTTTCCCACAAAATGATGATCATTTGAGACGAACTTTGGAGATTTGTTTAGAGGTATTTGTTCGATTTTCTAAAAGAAAAAAATTTGACTTTGTTCCTTCCGTCTCATTTTCTGCCTGCTCATTTACAATGCTAGTTTGTTTGTGTTTTATCGCAAATGCTCCGCTTTATTTTTTATATCAACTGCTAAAGAAATGGCTTGTTAAGTGTATTAGTTGCATACG